CTGTCACTCCCTATTTATACCTATTTCACCGGTGGCGTAACCTAGGTAGTATGCTTCTCCGAGAGCGTTCCCTCAGGAAACATAATCCCGTCGGTTATTTATTGTAATTAAATGCCGTTTCGTGCATGGTCGCGACAGCATCGTTTAAGATGCTGACAAGGTTGTGTAAACGAGGAATAGCTCTATTTCAGAAAGCTGCTCTTGAGTCGTGCCAAAAACAAAATCTCGCTGTCTTATTGTTTTTTTGTGTTGTAGGAGTAAATATAATCAAACTTCCGGGGATTACCTGTAAAAACATTCTGGTCTTTTTCGGTAGGTGGTCTTTTTCGGTCTATAATTCTAATACGATAGAAGAACTTTCAACAAAAACTATTAATTTTAAAGCTTGAAGTCTTCAACAACATACATCTAAACTGTATCTTTTTTGTCAAATAATAGAGAAGTCACAACTAATTACTTTTTCAACTTCATCTATTTGAGTTATCGAAGCTAAAAATACGATCAGTAATGTATTTATACGCTGCATTTGCATGCAAGAAAACTTACATGGTATTATTAAAACGAGTTTAATGAGAGCAGAAATTTATTGTTCTACGCTGTATGACGGCAATCCTGCAAAGCTCTTCTCAAGTAAAAGCTGTTTTTAGTAAGTTACGTCATTACTCGTCGACTAAACATCGGCTATTCCTATTTTGTCGTAAATTATAACGTAATAGCTGCCAAGCTTTATCTCTCCTCTGCTTGGAAACAATATAAACCACCATTTCCTGTAGTCAACCGCGTTCTTTGAAATATTTTCTAACCAAGCCTTTATCATATTCATCTTGGCAAACTATGTTGAACACTTGCTTTGGTCAAATTGCTCTATAAATTTCGGTGAACAGAGTTTTGTTGTGATAATTTTCAACACATTTTAGGCTGTTTTACCCACAATCATCTGCTGTGAAGTTTATACTTTTAGGGTGAGTACTAGAGGAAGCCTGTGTTTAAGCTGGCCACTAGTTTTTTGCTCTTTGCGCTTTCTGCAGTATACAGTTGCATACAAAATTCATGTCGTTTTTAACAATTTGACGGTCTATCAATTACTCGCTTTCATTTCTAAACAAAAGATCTTTTAGATTTGAACAATACTTCACAAAAACTCCTAGAAGAACCATCTTTTTGCAAACTCGAATAAGTTCTTGCACATTCTTGCCATGTGCAGCCAAGTTCAGTCACGGAGCAGTACACAGAATAAACGAAGCAACTACAGAATTTACAAAAATCTCTCATTTAAAAGAATAATTCTATTAACAATTTCAACACTGGAATATATTGATCTCATGGAAACAATTTTTGTTATTCTTCAGCGCTGT